TAAGGAGTAGCCATATATGTGGTAGGAACCAGCAAGCTCCATCTAATGGGAGGAGAAAGACACTTTGTTGTTGTTGTTGTTATGTGCCGTCGAGTCGGTCCCGACTCATAGAGACCCCTTCTTGGGCTTCCGAGGCAGTATCACTATGGAAGTAGGATTGCCCAACCAACCTTCCTTCTGAGGAGTGGCCGGTGGGTTTGAACCGCCAGCCTTCTGGTTAGTAGTCAAGTGCTTTAGCCACTATGCTATCAGAGCTCCTAGAAAGACACTTTAGAATTTACAAATATTTGAAAGAATCTTTGATTACCCTGATAATAGATGTTAAGTTGTTTATAGATTGAAGTTTATATGATTAATTGATACTGATTTTCTTATTTATACACTTACATTTATTCTTAGCTTAGCCATATCAACTGGACTATTGTATTGTGGTTGTGTGGATAAAAACATATGTTAATTACATTAAATTTGCAGGTAAATAATAAATTTCTTCTTGTGAAAGACTAACTCCTCAGGCCACTTTGAGTTTTTGGTGTTTGCTTTAATATTATACTCCAGAAAGTTCTGCTATATTTTATGTTGGCTGGGATCAAGAATGGACCCAGTCCTTGATAGAGGGGCAAAACTTGCATATAGCTATTTTTTTTAATATGTAACCAATAGGATTATTCTATCCATTAAGCAATATGAACTGTGCCTAGGCCTGGCAAGCTTTATGTTGTTGTTGTTATGTGCCGTTGAGTCAGACCTGATTCATAGCAACCCCTCCTTGAGTTTCTGAGGCAGTATCACTATGGAAGTAGATTGCCCCATCTTCCTTCCGAGGAGTGGCTGGTGGGTTTGAACCGCAAGCTTTATATGAGCCTATAAAAATGTTTGAGTTTGAGGACAGCAATGGCTCCAAAATGCCAAAAGAAAACTATAAAATCTAAACTAATTAATGTCTAATTAAATATCTATAAAGCATAAAATATGTCAATTTAATTAGTCATTTAAATTGAGTATTTATGGAAATTTCATTACATTTAAGAACATATTTCAAGTCAGATTTTCCTATTTAGCAATAATTTTTCAGCATTCACAATGATTGCCAAGAAATTATACCTACTCATAAATTAAATGAGTTACTTGTAGCCCATAATTTCAATATCAATATTTTAAAAATTGCTTCAAAACATTTACAGCAAAAATATATTTAAAGTAGGGTTATGGAGCACTTTAATAGGTTTGATACAATGCATCATGTGACCATCACAAATAACAATATATGTAGCCCATGAGGATCTAATAATGAAAATGCAATGCCATGAGGTTTCAGCTTCTTAGTCCATCTCTTAGACTGGTATAATGGCCAATCAGTGCCCACTGGAAAAGGGGTAACACTGTAATGCACATCTCAATTCTTGATATGTTACTGGAGAAGATCCACCTGCAAAATTTCCTTAATTCTTCCGTTTTTAAAAAACTGTGATAAAAATTCAAAAAATTGCTGTTTCAAATAATCTTAAGTGTACAGTTCAATAAAATTAATCACATTCACCATGCTATACAAGAATGATCAATATCCACTTCCAAAAAATAAATTATCACCTCAAAAACAAACCCAATACCTCTTAAGCAATAAGTGCTTATTCGCCACTCCCCCAAACCCCTGGTCACTGATAAACTTTTGTCCCTATTAATTTCCTGTTCCAGATATTTCATATAAATTGAATAATACAGCGTTCGTTCTTTTGAGTTTACTGACTCTTTCTTAACATTCGTTACTACTCCCACTATTCCCACTATTCTAATTTCAAATGGAGGGCAGTACTCATTTCCAAGGATGGACTAAGGGGACTATTAAAAGACCTAAATATTTTTTTCTCTAAATTTTTTTTTTGGGGGGAAGGGATGATATACACTTCTGTTTAGCTGGAACGGAAGTGCCATGCTGATTGGTTAGAAAGAAGGTACCCTCTTGAGCAGAGAGTATGCTTTAGATTATGGTTGGGCCAGAGAGCATTAACTCACCAGCAATACACTTAGAATACCAGTCCTTGATACTGAGAACTGAAATTTAACATAATTTCCGGGCCCTGTGTAAACAATGCTGGGACCAGGGATACTTTCTT